TCTATGGTACCTTTCAGCAAAATGAAGCTTTCTTCATTATCTCTTTTAATTAGGTCTATTTTTTATCTGAGATCACAATTGCTACTACAGCCTTTTTTGCTTCAGTTAAAGCATAAGAGATTCTGCTTCAGCCATTTATTTTAATTTTGTGTCTCCTGTAAACAACATGTTGTTAGAGTTTGGTTTCTAATCTGTTCTGCTTTCTGCTTCCATTTTATGGGTGAGCTTATCCTATTGCCATTCACACTTATGATTACTAGCTGTGTATTTCCCTCCATCCTATTTTCTTCTGTTTGTCCTTCTCTTGCTCTCTTTCTCTTTTTTTATCCTAGCCCTCTCAAAAGTCTGTTTTGATTCTAACCTCTGCCTCCCTTAAGCCACCCTCCCTTTTATCATACTCCCCACCATATCTCTTATCCTCTTCCCCTCCTATTTCCCCATTGAGTCAGATAGATTTCTACACCCAACTGAGTGTATGTATAGCACATATGTGTGTGTGTATGTGTGTGTGTGTGTGTATTCTTTCCTCTTTGAACCAATTCCAATGTGAGGTTCAAGCATTGCCCACCCCCCTCATTTTCCCCTCCGCTGTAAAACCTCTTCCCTGTGTGCCTCTTTTATGTGAGATAATTTTCCCCATTCTACCCTCTCCCATTCTCCCAGTGCATCCCTCTTTCTCACCCCTTCATTGGAGGGGGGGGAGATAATTCCAACATAATCAACTCATACACATACCCTCTGTCTGTGTAGATTCCTTCTAACTGCCCTAATAATAAAGTTCTTAGGAGTTATATGTATCATCTTTCCATATAGCAACGTCAATAGTTTAACTTTATTGAGTTCTTTATGATTACTCTTTTGTGTTTACCTTTTTGTGCTCTTCTTGAGTTTTGTGTTTGAATGCTGAATTTTCTATTAAGCTCTGGTCTTTTCATTAATTATGCTTGAAAGTCCTTTATTTCTTTAAATATCAATTTTCTCACTTAAGGATTATACTCAATTGTGTGGGGTAGGTTATTTTTGGTTGTAATCCTAATTCCTTTGCCTTCTGGAATATCATATTCCAAGCCCTTCACTCCTTTAACATAGAAACTGCTATATGTGTGAACCTAACTGTGCTCCATAATACTTGAATTATTTCTTTATGGATGCTTGAAATATTTTTTTTCTTTGACCTGAGAGCACTGGAACTTGGCTATAATATTCCTAGGAGTTTTCATTTTGGAGTCTCTTTCAGGAGGTGATTAGCGGATTCCTTTCATTTCTATTTTATCCTCTAGATCTAAGATAATAGGGTAGTTTTCCTTGACAATTTCTTGAAATATAATATCTAAGCTCTTTTTTTATCATGGCTTTCAGGTAGTCCAGTAATTCTTAAATTATTTCTCCTCAAACTATATCCCAGGTTAATTGTTTTCCAATGAGATATTTCACATTTTCTTCTATTTTTACCTTCTCTTGACTTTGTTTTACTGTTTCTTGATGTCTCATGGATTAACTTCCACTTGCCCAATTCTAATTTTTAAGAAATTATTTTCTTCAGAGAGCTTTTGTATCTCCTTTTCTATTTGACCCATTCTCCTTTTTTAGGGGTTTTTTTCTTCAGTGAATTTGTGTGTTTCTTTTACCATTAGACCAATTCTGTTTTTTAAGTTTTTTTCTTTGTTATTTTTGTTCCTGTTCTACCAAGTTGTTAATTCTCTTTTCATAATTTTCTTGTATCATTCTCTTTCCATTTCTCAATTTTTCTTCTACCACTCATCTCTTTCTTTAACACTTCCAGGAATTCTTGTTGGGATTAGTTTTTACATTATTATCTTCTGCATTTATGTCTTGGTCTTCCCTGCTTTTTATAGCCAAGTTCTTTTTTTTGTCATTTGCTCATTTTCCCAGCCTATTTCTTGACTTTGAACTTTATGTCAAAGTTCGGTTCTGCTCATCTGTGGGTGGGGAGGTGCACTGTCCCAAACTTCAGACTTCTTTATGCTTCTGTTTTCAGAGCTAGTTCTGAGGTTCTGCAAGTTTTTGGTGCTTCTTGGGGGATGTAATCTGGGGACAGGTGTGACCATTGCTCTCCTGGTCTACACTTATCCAGGAAGGGACCTTGCTACCCTGTAGCCACAAGCTCTAGTGCTTCTCTCGGCTGTGGAATTGTGACTAGGTCCCCTGGTCCTTTGTGACTGACCACAAGTGCTCCAATCCACACTGAACTGCAACCCAGAACTGCTTATGGACAATGGAATTGCCAATCAGCATCAGCTGAATCCAGTGCCAACAAAGAGTCCCCTGTAGTCTCTTTCTGACTATTTGGTTGTCCCCATCACCATCTCTGGGCTGAGAGCTCCTGAAGCTGCTGCTGCTGCTGCTGAAACAGTCACCTCCAAGGTCCACCGCTGGTGCTGCTGCCGCACATTGGGCAGGCAACCACCACAGTGTCATAGACTTCTCCTGAAGACTTCCAAGTTATCTTAGGCTGGAAAGATGTCTCACTCTGACCTTTTGTTGGTTCTGCTGCTCCAACATCTAATTTGAGAATTATTTTTAAAGTTGATTGGAGGAGAGAGTTCAGCTGTATTGCTGCCTGTACTTAGCCATCTTGGCTCCACCACCCTCTGTGTATCCTTTTTAATGTCAAATAAATTTCGTTTTATTAAATGTTATTTGGCCCATGAGTATTTCACTGAATTACAGGCCCAAGCCTGGAACCTTTGGACTGATCTAGGTTAGGACTGGTCTAGAACATATCTCCAGAAAATTGCATTTATCTCCTTCTTTCCACTCACACAGCTACCACTCTAGTTCAGGACTTCATCATCCCTTACCTAGACTTACTGCTCTTTCTTCTCCACTCTATCCTTCACACACCTACTAAAATTATTTTTCTAAGCATAAGTCTGACCATGTCACTTTGCTAAGCAAAAATCTTAGTGGCTCCCTATTCCCTACAGAATAAAACACCAACTTCTTAACTAACATCAAAAACACTCCACAATCTAGCTCCATCTACCTCTCTAGTCTACTTTCATATAACTCTCCTTTGTGTATTCTGTGGTCAAGCCAAACTGGACTAACGACCATTTTCCAAACCCAATACTCTATCTCTTCCACATGTCTTCACACAAATTCTTCCCTATTCCCAGGCCTACTCTCCTCATAATCTCTCTAAGAATCCTTATCTTCCTCAAAGCTCAGGTCAGGTACCATATCCCTGATCTTCCCAGGTATCAATCCTCTCTCCTTACTAAGTTACTTTGTCTTTATTTATTTGTGTACATGCTGTATTCCTCCCCACTCTCAACCCCTAAATGTAAAATCCATGGAGGCAAACCAGTTTTGTTTTGTTTTGTTTTTGGCTTTGCAATCCCAGCAGCCTAGCACAGGTCCATGTGTTTAAATGTCTGTTTAACTAATGCATTGTTGGTGGAGTTGTGAACTGATCCAATCATTCTGGAGAGCAATTAGGACCTATACCCAAAGGGCTATAAAACTGTGCATAACCTTTGATCCAGCAATACCACTACCAGATCTGTATCCCAAAGAGATCATAAAAAAAGGAAAAAGAACCCATGTATACAAAAATATTTATAGCAGTTCTTTTTGTGGTGGCAAAGAATTGGAAATTGAGGGGATGCCCATCAACTGGGGAATGACTGAACAAGTTGTGGTATACGAACATAATGGAATGCCATTATTCTATAAGAAATGATGACCAGGCAGATTTCAGACAAACCTGGAAAAACTTACATGAACTGATGCTGAGTGAAGTGAGCAGAACCAGGAGAACATTGTACATAGTAACAGCAGCATTGTGTGATGACCAACTTTGATAGACTTCGCTCTTCTCAGCAATACAGTGATCTAAGATAATTCCGAAAAACTCATGATGGAAAATGCTATCCACATCCAGAGAAAGAACTGTGGAGTCTGAATGCAGATCGAATCATACTATTTTCTGTATCTTTTTTTCTTTCTCATGGTTTTTCCCTTTTGTTCTGGTTCTTCTTTCACAATATGGCTGATATGGAAATACATTTAATATGGTTGTACATGAATAGCCTATATCAGATTGCATGCCATCTTGGGGAGTGGGGAAAAGAAGGAGGGAAAAAATTTTAGAACTCACAATCCTATAAAAGTGAATGATAAAAACTAAAAATACATAAATATTTTTTTAAAAAAACAAATAAGTGTTGAGTTGAATTGAACTGAACCTCTTCAAATTTAGCTAAGACAGTCCTTAGACAACAGCCAGTCTGCTATTTGTCACCTGCTAGTACTCAGAAAATTTCCAGATTGACGGAACCTATCAGAGCATGACCTCTGCTGACACAGCCTTTAAGGACCTATGTTCACCTCTATGCCACAATGAAGCATCATAATAGGACTTTAGTGAGTATCTCCCTCCAACAGATGAAAAGAAAGATTTCTATTCTCTCTGTCTAAAGGATTTTCTGCAGAATTGAGCTGCCATCAGACAACATTTATAAAATTTTACCAACATCAGCGATTTTCCCCGTCAACACCTTTTGCTTTCATTTTTCCTTTCTCTGAATTTTGGTCATATAAAGAATTCCATTTTATCCCAGTAATAAGCAACAGAAACAAATAAAATACTTACTTGTATCCAAGAGATTCAGCATCACTTAATATGAACAGTTTTTAGAATATAACTATGTAGAAATGTTTTGAATACATGAGAATGCTGTATACATGTATATGGATTTGGTGGGTGGGGTGGAACAGTACAACAAATACTGGTTCTGGAGGCAAATGGCCCAGGTTCAAATCCCTTCTCTAATGTTTACTACCTACGTGACCTTGGGCAGGTCACTTAACCTGGGTCTCAGTTTCTTCATTTGCAAAATATGGAGGTTGAATTATATGGCTGTGACCTCCCTTCTAGTTCTAAATCTAGGATCCTGTATCATGTATGTAAAAAAAACCAGGGGGAAGATACAGCTGAAATTCCTGATTTTTTTTCTCTCTGCTTTTCACTGAAGGCAACATTCATTCAGAAGCTAGTCTTCATATGAATACCTGTGAAACCTCATCCTTGACCCCAGAGCCAGAAAAGAAGGTATGATTATTGACACTGCTTTTCAAATTTAATAAAGAGCCATAAGGTGCCAGGAATGTGAGGACCATGGTACCACCCACAAGTGCTAGGATGTATTATTAGCTTAACAGTCAGAGAGAGGAGTTGTAGAGAAGTTATGGGTTCTAGTCACCTAACTCTCCCACTAACTGAATGATAACCTCTTCACTTCTCCAGCCTTTGGTGTACTCGTTCATAAAATGAGAGGGTAATGTGAGCTAGAGCAGGGTTTCTTAACCTTTTCTATATCATAGGCTCCTGTAAAAGTCTAGTGAAGCCTATGGACCCTGCTCAGAATAATGATTTTAAACATGTGAAATAAAAAATACAGGATTAAAAAAAATCAATTATATTGAGATACAGTCATCAAAAAAAAGTTTATTCAAGTTCTTGGACCCTAGGTTAAGAAACCCTGGAGGTAATCCTTAAGGTCTCTTCTAGATCCAATAATTTTTTTTTTCCAGTAAGCAAATAAGTTGAACAGACAGTTTTCCTACCTACCAAATGCAAGTGAGTTAAGTGTGAACAAGGACAGATAGAAAGGTAGCTTCCATTAAAATACTGAGCACTTAACCACTCTAAGGTAAGACTTACTGGTCTTTTATAGACTAATTGGTCAGTGTACTTAAGCAGGAAACAAAGAGAGAAATAAAAATAGAAAGTGAAGGAAAAACCCACAAAAGATGACCATGAGGAAAACAAAAGAGAGCTTATCTGGAAATTAGTTTCTGTGCAAGAATATGTCTGGATTTTTTAAACCTTTTATGCTTTGGGATTGGTATGTTTTTATTTTTTTTAGTTTTGTGATTACTTCCCAATATAATAATCATAATAATCATCATAGCTAGCACTTATATATAACTTTAACATTTGCAAAGCACTTTATAAATATTATCTCAGTTGATTGTCACAACAACTCTGAAGGGGTAGGTACTGTTAACTATCCCCATTTTGCAGATGAGGAAACTGAGTCTAAGGGAGGTTATCCAAGGTTAAGCTAAGTAAGTATATAAGGTTAAATTTGAACTGGGGCCCCATAGGCTCCAAGTCCAGAGTTCTATCCGCTGTACTACCTTTCCTTATAACAAAGAAGTGCAGATAAGCAAAATAAATGGACATATTGACCATATCTTGCAATATATACCTCATTCTGTACACATAGTCCACCATCAGCCTACTGAGAGAGAAAAAAAAGTTATATCTGATAATCAGTCAGCACGATACAGTGTAAAACATGCCAGGTTTAGAGTCAGTGGATCTGGGTTCAAATCCTAGCTGTTCTATTTATTGCCTGTGTGATAGGGAGTAAGCAACCTAACCTTTCTGAGCCTCAGTTTCCTTATCAGTAAAGTGAGAAAGTTAGACTAGATGACCTTTAAGGTTCCTTCCTAAATCTATGATCCTATTACCCTCTGGAATAAGATTTGTCATTGTATACATCTGAATTCGGAGGTCTCTTAGTGTTATTTTCGTTTACATTATCATGGTCACTGTGTATTTTATTCTCTTGATCTTGCTTACCTACTTCTGCATCTGTACAAGTAAATCTTCTCAAGTTTTTCTGAATTCTCCATATACATAATTTCTTTTAGCATAATACTCCATCACATTCACATAACACAATTTGCTCAGCCATTCCCCAATTGATGAGTACCTGCTTTGTTTCCATTTTTTTTTTATTATAACAAAAAGGACTGCCAAGCATATTTTTGGCATATAAAAGACCTTTTCCTCTGTATTTGCCCTGCTTGGAACATATGCCTAGTAATGACATTACTTCATCCAAGAGTATGAACAGTAAAGTCACCTGTTTTGCATAGTTTCAAAATGTTTCATTTACTGCTCTATGGAGAATATGAGTGCCCATTTTCCATGGCTTCAGAGCTATGCATTTACCAGTTTTTATAAACTTGCTCTGCTACTGAAAGCTATGTGATTGTGGTTATATTCAAATGTTCCCAGTTCTCAAAGGCTAGGACAGCAAAATACAAACTCTGGTCTGAGGAATTTCTGGATCTGAGAAACCTGGAGAAGGAACAAAGTGAAAAGCTGACATTCAGTTCCCCTTGATTTAGCTTTGCTGCCATCCTGGATCCCATGCCTCCATAGTCCTTCCCCGCTTCTTTCCAATTTTCTTGCCTCTCACTTTTTCCCCTTTGGCTTCTGAAAGTTTATTGTTGTTACTGTTGTTGTTGTTGTTGTTGTTGTTTTTAAAAAGACACATGTGACTGCTTTAAGGTCAAGGAAAGATATCAGCTATCACTTCAACTACCCCTTGGTCTACAGGTCCTGGGGAGATTGCTGCTAGGATAAGACAAAGCAAAGTAGAAATTTTCAGATAAGGAAAGAAATTATCATAGGAACAATATTTTCATCTTTTAAAAATTTCTACCTTGAAGCTGTCCTTTATAAATGAGTATCTAGAGATTCTTTGAAGGAGACTTTGTGACAAAGGGAAATGTAAAATTAATACATTTTTTTTGGTTATCAGAATCCAAATGCCTTATAGCACCTCAGAGACTATATCTAAAACCATTCTAAATCCACCACAGACCACATGAATAACAAAAAGGCCACACTTGCATCAAGAGAGCTAATATCAACCCAAATAACACAATGTGACATTATATTAAGAGTATTATTTTTAACCATGTAAATATAATGGAGTGGAGAAACAGCCTGTTCCTTGGAACCAGGAAGGCCTGGATTCAAATCTTGAATCTGACAAATACTGTCTGTGTAACCACAGTCAAGCCACTTAACCCTTGAGGGGAGGGGAAAGGATGGAAACAAGCAATTACTAAGTACCTCCTACTGTGCTAAGTGCTTTATAAATTTATTATCTCACTTGATCCTCACAATAAAGGTAAGTATTTTTATAGGTGAGGAAACTGAAGCAGACAGTGGTTAAAGCATTCTCCCAGAGTCATGCGGCTAATAAGTGTCTGGGGCTAGCCTTGAACTCAGGTCTTCCTGACTCCAGGCCCAGGGCTCTATCCATTTCACCACCAACCTGCCCAGGTACTACTCCCAAGGACTATAAATTATGAAAGAGTTGCCAAGTTGAATTAGCGGAGGAATTTGGTAAACCAGCAGTTCCCTTGAACAAGCAATTCACGTAGCCAAAAACATTTCAGCCAATATAGCATTACACTGTAAGTCAATAGCAGAGCTGAAAATGTGCTTTTGATTTATATTCCCCTATTAAAAAGCTGGAAAAACCATTGTAGAACACTAGACCAGCCTTGAAGTCAAGAAGACCTAGGTTCAAGTTGTCCTCTGACCAACTCCAACTGTGAGACCAAAAGCAATTCTCTCCATCTCTCATTGTTATAGACAACTCTAAGCCTACAGCCGGCAGATGAGTTGTCAGTCTGTGTTGGTGGAGGAAATTTCCACACCAGGAGTTGCCTCCATGAATGAAATCACAGGTCTAGACCAAAAAAAAAAAAAGTCAAAGAGCTACACAAACACATGGATGAAACCCCCAGGCAAAAAGTAAAATCTCCCAGGGGAATTTTCAGGTCCACAGTGACCCTATATTAATAACAATCTGTAATTGGATAGAAATAAAAAGAGTGAGAAACATATGATATGAATGCAGCCTTACTTTCAAGAGAATCCTGGAGGCTACCTTTGCATTTTAATTTATTATTATTATTAACAGGACTATTCTCTGGAAAAGGGCTAAATTAGAATTCTGTTCAATTTACAAGATTTGTTGAGTACCTACTGCGTGCCAGGCATAGTAGGAAAAGCAAGACTCTCCTCTAAGACAGGAACAAGATGAAAAACAAGCAACCATGATAAAAGCAGCAAGCCAAATGCGTTAGGTCACTGTGTTATATTAGTCCACAGAGGGGATTTGCTTATCCAAGTCTAATAGAGTGCCAGTCTGGAGTTTCTCCTGGTGCCCCTGCGGTGACCCAATGAGTAATCACAAGAGCATAGACCTAAACCTGGAAATCATGAGTCAGAGGGCGTTAAATCTATCTCCCTCATTTTACAGATGAGGAAACTGAGGCCTGAGCAACTTGCCTAAAGTCGCACAGGTCACCATGTGTCCAAAAACACTAAGAGTATTATTTTTCAGGCACTCTAATTTCAGACCCAACACACTTTCCTTTGTACTATGCTGTCTCCCACCATCTTGGCTGCGTCAGACAATAAAAAGAACATTCAATTTTGAGTCAGAGAACCAGAGTATAGATCCTGCCTCTGTCACTAATTGGTGACCTTGGGCAAATTACTTGTGCCTCACTTATCTCATCTATAAAGTGAAAATGTTGGTCTATATACCCTTCCCCCCATAAATCTACGATCATATGATCTTGGCCATCTAGCCACAAAGATACTTTTTTCAAAGCTTTGAATTCTCTCTTTACCTTCTAAGGCCCAAGTAGAAGGTCCATGAATATGACTTGATTCTGCAGTGTAGCCTACATCTTGGAGGATTTCACAGGCATTTTTCAATATTTTAATATTTACTGAGGGAATCCCTTTTGGAGAAAGACCTCTGTAATGATTGCCATCTCCTTACGAGGAAAGGTCTAATGGCTGAAGCAACCAGACACTAGCCATGTTGATAACTGAATTATCAAAGACCTTTCGAACATATCTCCTCTGGCTACCAAATCCCCAGTTAAATTTCATTGGATTTGGAACTGGAAGAGGCCAGCTAGTCTGACCCCTTCATTTTTTTTCAGTGGGGAAACTAAGACCAGAAATATTAAGAGACTTACCCAACATCATCCAGGTAAGTAAATGGCAGAGTCAAGGTTCGAACCCAGGTCTTTTGACTCCAAATCCAGCATTTTTTCCCTTCTACCACAATATGGTCCCAGACATCCATTTTAACTACTTTCTTATCCTTACTTGATATAAATGGCTAATTTAATGTTTACCATTTAAAGCATCTGGGATCAATTTGGGGGGTAGGCTTCATGCTTAGCAGACTTTAGTTTACAGTACCCTGATATACC